AAAACTCACCTTGGAAAGCCGCTAGGGAGGGAGCTGAAGTGGGCGTGGTCGGAATCGGCCGAGGGGATTGCAGTCGTTTCCGACCACGCCCACCCTGCTGGGACTGTTGCTTTAACTTGTTGCGTACCGCGGCATTTTTCAGCCGTTCGGCGTCACTTAAGGCACTGTTCACACCTTGCGCCATAGCCGAAGGACGCTCGAAACGAACGAATCTGCGGATCTGCGAAAAGATCAAATGCGTATCGATCCACAAAATGGGAGGGGCTTCGAATCGCGCATTCGAATCTGCGAATCCTTTTGAGAGAGGTGTATATCTATCGATCAGGTGAAGTGGAGGCGGCGCATCGTTTCGCGCTTTCGATACCTCGACGCGAAACGCTGAGAGGGCGGAGTTGACTACGTCGATACGCATCTAAACCTTTTCGCATCCGCGTTCGCGCGTGCGCGGTCGATACGTATATAATTCTTTTCGCGAATTCGAATATTCGGATGATTCGAAAACTGTGAACAATGCCTTACATTCGCCGCCCCATGCAACGATATGATTATAACTACTTCATTTATTTCATATACACATTTCTCATGTTCAACTGTGTATCTTATTAATTTACAATATTTGGTCGATATATTTGACAAGAAGTATTAATTATTATACCATAGATCTCGACCACGACGGCTGAGGACAAAAAGATTCGCCTGATCAACGATTCCGACTTCCTACTCCAGCTGCCGGCCGATCAGGGGATGCGCCATGCCCCGTCGACCCACGTCGATTGGTCGATCCGATCCCCGCTGCTGATCTGGGACGTTTCCCATACTTATTACTGTATATTGTTGTATCACTGAATATGTGCATTATTACTCTGGGATCTCGTTCCAGTGCTATTGTGTATTAAGGATAAACCGATTTGTGAGTTGACAGGCTTTTTCGTTTCGGGTCATGACCAGAGGCTAGGTGTTTACACGAGATGATCCCTATGGGCCGGATCATTACTGGTAGCAGCGAGTGCGGTCTCTGAAAGGAATTCGAATTCTTTAGGTAAGGCCTTAGTCGCAATATTCGTTCAATTAACGTTCGCTGAGATCTTGCTACGTACTCCTGAATGCCGCATCAGCCGGTTCTTGAAAAGAAAACACACCTCGTATACACAAAGGGCACGGTATCGCAAACGCTATGTGATAAACATTCGATGGGCAATTCAAACCCTTGTTTCTTGCCATCTTTGGCGTACAGGCACTCCACACTTCGCCACCAGATGCGCCTCAACAGATCACATTTCGGCCGCATGGTGCTTACGCCACGTCGCCCCGCCTCGAAGACAAAATTATACTTCTTGGCGTGATTATTACACTTAGTAGGCCTACCCGCCTTCTTTCTCTCTTTTAGCTTTGGCGCCTACCCGCCTTCTTTCTCTCTTTTAGCTTTGGCATTCTATTAATCCAGTCTAATCAAGCTCGAAACAGAAAGCCCTTCCTGTGTCTCTTTACTTGCGATTTCTACAGCATTTGCAATCGTTCTTAAACAGCATGCCTTTTCCCATTCAGAATTAATCATCCCCTTTCGGTTCTTGAATACCGTACGCAAAAGCAAATTTCAAATTTCCAGAGGCATTTGCCCTCAGTTTTTTCTGACGTCGCAAAAATGTTGCGCTGTGCCCTTTGCCTCGAATCGGTTTTTTCTCAGCCTGGGGTTCAAACATCAGAACATTTACCCGCTCGTATCTGATCATGTTCGTACTTTTTCTCTGTTCCCACAGAAAAGCTCCGCGATGACTGATGGTCTGTAAGATAGGAACGCAGCACCACATAAATATATCACCGGCTAACTCAGTCTCTATTCAGACGTCAATGAAATCATCGCTAAACCTTCAT